TCTCGCTCGCAGCCCCCGCCCCCCGACCACACCCCCTTAAAGGGCCAGGCCCGACACCGGCCCCTCACCCCCGCCCCGGGCCCGGGCTGTCCGGGCGGGGCTGCCCGCCTCGGCTCCGCCTGGCTGTCCACTGCCCCCTTCAACTTTTCCTGCACCAAACCCTGGCACTCCGGTCGCCCACCGGAACCCTAGTGTTCTGGCCTGAGTGAAGTAGAAACAAGGAGGTCTGGAATGAAGTGGAGTGAACATTATGTGCAGGGTGGGGGTCCCGCATTATACGCAGGGGGCATGGGGACCCCGACTTCTGGGTCTTCCGGCCCTTGGCTGCGGGGGGAGAGCAGGCTTCGCCCAGACACGTGGACCGGGCTCACGGGGGTTGACGAGGAGAGAAAACGGGACAGAGCTGCCCGGGTGCCCGGACGGCGCACTTGGCGGGGTCCTGCGCCCTTCATAGTGGAAACCCGGGTTCAGGGTGAACGGAGTCCGCCCGGCGGGCAGCAGCGCCAGAACCCCAGGCAGCCACCGCCCACCCGCCAATATGGCGGCGGGGGGTCGGGACTATGGGAAATGTAGTTCGCAGGTTGTGACCACGTGTGGCCGCCCCTGCCCAGAGGCGGTGGCTCTCCCCGAAGCGCAGAATTTGCTGGGGCGCCCTCCTAGGGCTGGCCTCGACAGGGAGCTGTCTTCTGCCCGCCCCCCACGCCACTTCCGTGGGTACAAGTGAAGAAAGTCGGGCGCAAAGAGCAGAGAAGTTGGGGAGCCAGCACTCATGATATTAAAACAATAACAGCCGACACACAATGAGCATTTAATGAATGGGCGCCACACTGGCGGTTCAGGTACGGGGCTCCGTCTGTGCTCCCCTGCAGATGCTGGTCCCAGCGCGCTTCTGTCGTTCAGATGCCACGGGAGGCGGCCAGGAGTATCAGACCCAAGTGGGCTTCTTGCCTAGGGGCCTGTTTGTGCTCTCATCAACCTGGTCCACCTCTCTTAGATCACACAGCTCATCCCGGCCTCTTTGGCCTCCCGTATCTTTAAATAGACTCTCTCATCTGTCTGTTCATTGTCTCCCACTTCTGAGCTCCGCAGGGTGGGGACCTGTCCCAGACCCGCTGACTGCTGTTGCCCAGGGGTGAGTCCTGGTGCTCAGCTTCAAATCCACAAATACTGGACAAATTACCTGACTCTTGCTGAACTCACAGCACCTAGGTCAGACTCTAGGTGCTGGAGGTGACAGAAAGAATGAATGGCTTCCTCTGTACCTCCATTTTCTCAGCAGGTGGTGGCGAAGATTAAATAGGAAAATGCTTGGTGGGGTCAAAGACTGACCACAAGGTTAATGAAGTCACAAGACAGAGCTGCAGCTCAACTACCCCCCTCCCCCATGCAAAGTCTATTCATTACCCCCATCCTGAAGGTAGTACAGCTCTTCTGGGGTGCCTCCGCAGGCGCCAGGCTGTCGGTCATGGTTGGGGAGCAGCGCCAGCCTTTCTGGGTGCTGGAGAAGCCCTCTGTAGCAGGCAGGGCCTAGGGAGGTTGAGACTGGCCCAAGGTAACACACTTGGCACCAGAGTCAAACTGACACCCAGGCCTTTGGTCTACCCTGCGTTTGAGATGAGACAGCTATGGTCAGAGCCAGAGGCTCAGAAGGTGGCTGGGGGGGCGGTGGGGTGGAGAGGGTAGGTGGGCTTGCTGAGAAGCCTGGGTTGGGGGGCCACTTACCGGGCTCAGTCCAGACCAGGTAGAGCAGGCTGATGCCACTACCACCCCGGTTTCCTTCTGGCCTTGGCCTTTCTTTGGGCAGCCTATCCCACCTCTTCCTCCTACGGAGGGGGAAGAAGGGCCTACCTTGACCCTTGTTCAGCAGATTAAATAGGACCCACCCTTCCCACTGGGAATGGCCTGGGCTCTGAGCCCACTGGGAAGGGCCTGATATGAAAAGCAATTTACCCATTAAATTCCCCACCACACCCCACCTCACCCCAGCAGGCAGCTCTGTTCTCTCTGAACGAGAGCTCTGGTTTGGATCTTGAGTAGGCTCATAATTGAGGGGGTGATAGCTCAATAGCCCCCAATGTCTGACAGCGCACTAGGAGATAGGCCCTACAGACCATGAGGATCCGGTTGCCAGCCCCCTCGGCCCCCAGATGCTGTGACCTTGTGCATTGACCTTCCTGTTCTCCTCCCTTCAGGGCTGGTGTGAAAACTTCCCGTCATGTCCAAACTTCAGGGTACTCCCTGGGGTTCTCTGGAAGGAGCCAAGGACTCTCCTCCTGATTCTCCCACTTTCCACTTCCCATGTCACTCCTCGGGCACTCCTAGATTGCTGGGGCCTAGCTGTTAGGTCCTTTCCCACCCTGAGCAGGGCATAGATGGCCAGGCTGGCCTGCAGTCTTCCTGGAGGGCAAGGTTTGAATCCTGCCCCTGCCCCACAGACTGCAGGCCCGGGACGTCCTTACCTCTTCAAGGGGCCCTACGGTGACCTGTGGTGGGGGGCCGAGAGCTCAATGTTCCAGGATCACGTGCGCCTGCCCTTGAGCTCTTGCCTGAACCCCACTGGGGGTTCAGCAAGGATGCTTCTCATCCTTGCCAGCCCCGCCCCTCCTGGGGTCCCAGCACACTCTTCCACCAGAGTTGAGCTAAGGCAGCTTTTAATGCCTCCCTGGAGCAGAGGCCCTAAGAGGGTCCCGTGGGCCACGACCGCACCCTTAGTCGAGGGTGGAGGCCGGAAAGGCTGCCTCCCTTCCCCCGTTACCACTTGCCGAGAAACCCTATTACCAAGCCTGGAGGAAAGAGTCCTAGGAGGAGGGAGTCCTCTAAGGGCGCTGCCCTGGCCTCCAGGGACACTGGGTGGGGGGAGAAGGAGAAGGCTCAGGCGCAGGACCCAGGCTCCTTGCTACCTGCCAGGGAGAGGCTGCCCAGCATGCCTGTGACTGCCACCAGTCGAAGGGGCAAGGCCTTGGCTCTGACCCCTCGCTCAGGCCCAGCCAGCCCCGGCTCTGCCCCTCTGCCACCTGACTGGGCCCGCTCCTTCTGGCTCCTGACGTCCCCACGGTCTGCTAGCCCATCCAGAGAGGCAGCTGCATGTAACCAGGGTCATCTTGTAGCAATTTGCTTATTTCTCTCTCTCTCTCACACTCACACACACACACGCACACACACACATGCACACGCACACGCCTTAACTTCCAGCTCTGGACAAGATGACTGGGGCCCAGCTAGACATAGGGCCCTGCTGCTGCTCACGTGAGACGATGAGGGTCACAGAGCCTTTCCCCTTTGTCTCTTTAAGGACTACGAATGGAGACAGGACATGAACTGTCCTTCAAGTCAGCTGGAGGCCCCAAGTCCTCCTACATTGGAGTTGTGTGACCCTGGGCAAGTCCCAACCCTCTCTGGGCCCCAAGGGAAGATAATTATCACAGCCCACAGAGCCTTGACCAGATAAGGAGATTCCTTAGGTGAAAGCTGAGGCCCAACATGGGGACTGTGATGGACGACAGCAGGCAGGCTCCCCTGGGGGTCTGGGAGCCTCAGGCCAAGGGACCTGCAGGGCCAGTTCCTCCTTGCCTGACCCTCCTCCCCCAGAATCAGCTCCATCTTTTCTGGGTTTCTAGGTGACTTGGCTGGCCCCTCTGGATGAGTTCTACTTTAAACCTGCTGCTGTTACTGCCTCTGTATTGGGGGGGCTCCCACAGGGGCCCCCAGGCAGGAGCCCCCCCAGCCAAGCCCTGCGGGAGGGGCTACAGCCCCCACCCATTCCAGTGCCCGAGCGCCTTCCCCTGCTCCCCCCTCCCATCCCTGCAAGGAAGATTTCAGGACGCGCACCTGCTGTGGGCCTGGCACTGCCAGGCCTCTCAACCCTCCTTGTACCGGGACATCCACAAGGCTTCTGACCCTCTGGAAAATGACCAACTGTCCCCTTCGCAGTGCTAAGCCCCACAGGATCAGGCCGCAGATCTGGTCAGGAGGGTCTGCGGCACAAGACTTGACGGTTCCAGGGCTGGGTCTGGAGAGCCAGGATGCCTGGGTCTTCAAAGTAGGCGGCCGGCAGCCGGCCTCCCAGGGCCAGGGACAGGGAGGAGGGGCGCCTGCCTGCGGGAGGCCCATTAGCTGGCTAAGTGCTCCCAGGAAGGGGGGGGGAGACAGCGCTGCAGCAGGAGGGGGTGAGATGAGGTGAGGGTAGAGGGGGGAGGGTGGGAGTGGCTTTTCCTGTACTCGGCTAAGTGCTGCAGGACCGGGTTGGGGGGGCAGGGTTCTGCTCCTCCCTATCACCCAAGTCTTGCCATCCAACTGTACCCCGTCATCATCGTCATCGGCCCCTGAGAAACCTTAGCGAGCTGACTCAGGCCGCGTTCTCAAGCAGCGCCCTCAGTTGCACCCCACCAACTCCGGACGCCCTTTTCCTGCCCCCTCCCGCTGCAGGCCGGCCCTGCTGAGCCCCCAGCCCACTGCCTGGGCTCTGGAGGACCCGGGTTCCAAGCCCCTCTCCGGCTGCTGTCGCCGCCCCAGCCGCCAGGGGGCGCCCAGAGGGGGCGGGGCCGCCTCGGCGTCTATTCATTACCCCC